TCTATTTCGCCGCCGTAACTGGTTGGAGACGAGCTTCACTACTCTGTCTTTGCATTTTTCTGTTTTTTAGGCAGCAGCAGCAGCCGGAGACGAGTTGATTCACAATCATCGGCAGGAAAGGAAGATGTGCTATATGATGTAGAGACGAGCTGTGTATTTCGCCGTCATAAGTGTTTGGAGATGAGCTCCACTACTCCGAATTTGCATTTTCTGTTTTTTTATTAAATATATTGCTTCCGAAACAGCTTCTGGGTTTGTTCGGTTGCAGCATGTTCAGCATGAGTAACTGAAGATTTTTGTATAAATGGAATGCGGTGGATTCAAATTGTAATATCTGAATTGATGGGGCTGCAGGAGATGAGTAGCAAATTGTCCCCTTTTCTCTGTTTTATTTTGAAATATTGAAGAAAAATGCAGGGTAAAATAGTTTTTTTGTCTTTCTGTACTTCTACCCATTATCTAGTGCCACATCATTTTCCTATTGGTAATAATAAGTTGCAGCTCGAGGAAATACGTCAAATTTGGCATTGCTCCAAACCATGCCTTCCCAATTTTCAAGGTGTGGCTTAGAGTACGATTTTCTATGGAAAAATGGTTCCAAATAGATAGTTGTTTCCTTGAGCACTGTTTTTTCCTATGTGGCGCTGATGTGGCGTTGTTGCTCAAGAAACGTCAATGATGCCAAACAGCCTCAAGGATAGTTTAAGAAATTTACCCTAAAGTAATAAATTAAGTATTAGCATTTTCAATTAAAATGAATAAGGGAAACATCACATAAATGATGAATATATGTGTAAATAGCTAAAAACATAACAAACAAGGTTAAGAATGCACCACTAGTTAGCTAGTTGGTGGACTTGCAAACCAATTGTAAACAGAAATTCATAGGAATTGGAATCAGAATGAACTATTAAAATAGGAACTAAAACTAGTTGGAATGGGTTTTCATTCTCAAGGGAGGGGAGGGAATGGCCATTCCCTTAAGGCTGCATTTAGAAATAATGCAAATATGTAGAGTGTAAAATAGTTCATATAAATTGTAAAATTGGGTTAGTTTTGCACATGTATCTTCTTACCAAATAGACTTTTATCCATAACGGATGCGAATATGAATTCCAATAAAGCATATGTTTTTTTTTTTTTTTTTTTATCAAAAGCCCACTATAATGCAATTTTACTTCTTTTTTATTATGTACTTTTACATCTTATTATCGATGTAAATATATATTGACTTGTCATTTGTTAATATATAAATGTAATGTTGCCAAACACATGCAAAAGTAAACCAGAGTGCAAAGTTACCCTGAATCGGGATTTACACTCCATTTGCATTGTTTCCAAATGCAGCCTAGATGGGGGAATGCCATTCTACCACGAATGGGAATGACATTCTAGTTCCACTTAACCAAACAATTGGAATCTAAATGGGGCATTTTGATTTCAATACAAACCCCTACACTCATAAACCAAACAAGCCCTTAGCCTTTTTCATGTTTTCACCAAAAGATAGCTTGCTAAAATAAGCACTTATTCTTTGCTTTTTGGCCAAACACAAATAAATACTTTTCTGTCACTTATTGTGTGATCCCACCACTTAAAATGCATTTATTTGAAGAGTTCCCAAACAGGCACTTAAAGTGTAATTAGGCTTGATGGCTTTTCCCAATGTACAGTTGTGCCGTGTGGGTAGGAGATCTAAATTCAGGAAAAAAACCATTGCATGAAAGCCTCTCCAATCCCAAATGGGCACATCTTTTGCTAATGCAAATCTCTCTCCCTCTCTCTCTCTTTCTTTATATATATATATATATATATATATAAGGCTTTTAGGCTACAACCCCCACCATTCGATACGTGGCTTTTTTAAATTTAGACACATGTCATTTTTTGGAAAATTGTTGTTAAAGCCCACAACTCATTACCACTATTCAGACAAGTGGCATTCTCGTTTTCTATAAAGGTAGACATGTGGCAATTTATGAAAAATTCCTGCTAAAGCCCATAATCCACTATCAGACTACAACTCCCCACCATTAAGATGAAAGGAAGGGAGATCCATCATATGGATGGCGGAACCATCTGTCTCCAAGGTCCAGGGCATAATTGGAAAATGATCCAGTTTCAGGGTTTCAATCAAACCCATACTACACGTACTTTATGTCTCACCCTGACAGCTGAGACAAGCGACTCCAACCGACTTGGCAGCACATTAGTCTTAGCCTTGGTAGGATAAACCTCCCCAAGTCTATCCAACGACTATGAAGATTCTAAACTAACACGAATCTCACTAGTGTTCAGTTTAAGGGTATCACACAGAAACACACCATAATTACATGAATCAACTATGTACTTTATTCATTTACAATAAATGTCAGTAAGTACATCAATCTAATTGGAGCTAAGGGTATACACTGTCTAACAAACACACGGCCTTCTCATTTTTTTTTTGAAAGCTAAACACATGACATTTTCTAAGAAGTTGATGCTAAAACCAATAACCCATTACCACCATTTTCAATCAATTCCTAAAAAATGCAAAAATTATTATCCATTTCACAACCACTTTTGCCTATATTCTATCAATATCAATTAACCATTAACCCTCTACGTATCGTAACAAAGAAAACTATTCATATTTTAATAATTATTGAAAAGTTATTTTTTGAAATAAATATTTTTTTAAAATTTTAATAATTATTTAAAATATTAATAAATATAAATTAAACATTATTAATTCAATAATGTAAATTTAACATTATTTATTCCATATCAGCACGTCACTCCTTTCTCCCCCACCCCTTTCCTAAATTATCAAATTTTTGAATTTTCTCTTTTTTTGAAGTCCAATGACGCGCAAGAGGCGTTTGGACTTACGAAGCATCTCCCGCCAGGGTATTCCAAACGTCTCTCTCACTCAATTTGGTCTCAAGCTATCATTGTTTCCCATTCTATCATCCTGTTCCGGCGATCAAGCTCCACAATAAACTCGGTTTTCTCTCAAGCTATCATCCCATTATATTCTGTTCCTACAATACAATCAAGCTCCACTATGTCTTCCTTCTCTTTCAAATCTTTGTTTGGGTTCTTCAACAATCAAGCTCTTCGGGGAATCAGTTCTGTAACTGGTTAACTGATGTGATGCGACTTATAGACAATATTTTCATTGTTGTTTTGGACGTCAAAACAGGGCTTCCGCCCTTCTTCTTCTTGATGGCAGGGGGTCTGGATGTCAAAATAGTTTGGTTTTGCAGTTAATGGACTTAGGGTTTCAGGTATTCATTAGAAAGATGTAGGCCAACTTATCAAGATTGCCATGGAAAAAGGATGAGTCGCAAGGCTTGAATTAAACCTTGATCTGTAAATATTAAACAAGATTGCTTGCTATCATTGGACTTTTCCTCTGTCCAGTGTGTTATTAATTAGAACCTAACTTAGTATATAAGCATTCTCACCGTAATGGTGTTTTGGAAATTTGCATACTTAAAATGCAACTTTGCCATCAACACAGCTCATAGCCTCAAACTCCATAAGATGGGATACCTCTTATAATTTTGAAAATTTGCATACTTAAATTCTGTGTATGTATGGTTGGTGGGCATAAGCATATTTGGATCCAAGCGGCAATGAAAAAATGGTAAAACACTAGGATTTACTTAAGATTTGCTCATTTTAGCATTTCTTTATTTGTTTGTATTTTGAATTCTCTTCCTTCTTTCCTCCCCCTCTTTATATGCTTCCTTTAGTTCTTTACTGACATTCAATGCTTTATAGAATAAGATATTTCCTTCTTTCATTCTTTTCTCCATCTCTTTTCAGTTTCATAAATTTTATGAGATGGGTTATGTCTCTAATGTAGCTTTATCATTATTCTTTTATACACAAGGAAATTCTAGAAATTCAACAACAGTTTTTTATCTAATGAATTAGTTTAGATTGTGTTGAAACAATAAGTTATGGCAGAAAAGAAAAGGAAAGTAGTAGATATTGAATTTAAAAAGCTTTTCAGGCTGAGAGATGATCAATTTGTGTTTATGGTTGAGCAACCTGGGTATTTCTCAAATCTTCTCATAGTCTACAATCTTTTGGTCAATTAATTAATAACAATGAATAAAAGATGATAATCTGAATATAAAACTTCAAACCCTTTTAGTCTAATCTCTGTTTTCAAGTTCAACATATTGTTAAGTTGTTAACATGTAATTGACAATTTACTATTTTTAGGAGAAGACCATTAACCATCCAAATTTTGAAGAAAAACACTTTATTTAGCAGTAATTACAAAGGTTAGAGCCATAGTGATAAGGAGCATAATAGTAATGAAAGAGAAGGAAAGTAAAGCAAGGAGATAAGAGAGAAAAAACAGTAGAACACACTCACCATCACACGACACAACCCAAATAATTATTTATAAATAAATTATAAATGGGAAAACCTCCTAAGTATTCTTTTATATCTCTTTGATCATCTTTAACCTATATGCCTGCTGTTGTAATTGGGTTTTAATTTATTTGAATTTTTAAATGCTTTGGGGTTTAATATTTTTCTTTTTAAATGACCAAATGCCTTTTCCCTTGGAGATTAGTTGGAGACTTCTTGACAATAATGTTTATTTAAGTAGAGCAAAATGTCATTCAGTTTTGTAGTATTTTATTAGGCAAGAAGGGTTTTGTGCTCTTTTTTTTTTTTAAAACTATTTATCAGAATAAATCTTCTGGTTATTTATTTCTTACCTGGGATTGTGCAATGCTATTGTTGAAAGTCTAAACTTTAGCAATATTCAAGTTTTCTATAAATTTTCCTTATTGTTTTCTTATAGTTTTAATTGAATTGAAAGCACGAAGCATAAAATGAAAAGCAACATTTGTTTTAGTTTTTTTATATCTAAGAAAAACTTATACCTTTTTTATATTAAATAAGGGCTATTGGCACCAACCCGTGCACCAAAACGGGTCATCTCCGCTTACCCATTTTCGAAAAATTGTCCAAACCATATAGACCCAATCCAATACATGGCTTGGGTTGAAAGATATTTGTTTTGATAAAATAGTAGTAAGGGTTTATAGCATATAAAGGTAACTTTTGGGGTTTAATATAAATAAAGTTAATGTATTTAAAAAAAATTCAAAAATAGGTTAATTTTTTAAAAATAATATCAATAAAGGGCAAAAACACTATTCATCATATTCTTCTTGCCATTTGTTCACCAGAGCTGCCGTCCACTGCCACCCGCCACTGCCGTCCACCTCCGGCAACGTTGTTAGAGATGGGTGAGACAGAGGTGGCGGTGGTGGCGACGAGCGACGACTTTGATGAACAAATGGCAAGAAGAAGAAGATGAACAGTGTTTTTGCCCTTTATTGATATTATTTTTAAAAAGTTAACTTATTTTTTAAAATTTTTTAAATATATTACTTTTATTGATATTAAGCCCCAATAGTTGCCCTTATATGTTATTACCCCTAATAGTAACAATAATAATTATAATAGTGGCAATAATTATAATAACAATAGTAATAATAATGAAAAAATAATATAATAAAAATATAATTCAGATATTTATTAAAAACGTTCTACAATATCAATTTATTTTAATATCTCCAGTAATTAATTAGCTATTTTGATTAATTAGTTATTTTAATATTTTTATTGCCTTTAAAATTAACGAAAATGCAAAAAATAAATTAATTTTAACTGAAATTAATTTTCTACTAAAAATTAATTTTAACACTAATATATATTTTTTTTTAAATTTTAAAAATTAAATTTTCAGTAATTTTTGAAAATAATTTTGAGATACTTATTAAAAATATCTAGTAATATCAAATTATTTAAATATTATCGAAAATAATTGAAAAGAATTTGAGATACTTATTAAATAATATTCAACTTATTGATATTTTCATTAATTAGTTATTTTAGTATTTATTATTTATTTGAATGTTTCCATTAATTATTTATTAATTTTAAAGTTACTGAAAATGCAAAAAAAAACTGAAATCATTTTTCCACTAAATGTTAGTGAAATAGACTTAGTAATATTGAAAATTGATATTTTTCAGAATGTTAAAAATCAATTGCAGTAATTTTTGAAAATTTTCAATATTTTTTTTTGTGGAAATTAATTTCAGTAAAAATAAATTACATATAATAATTGAAAATTATTTAATATATTTTTGAAACATAGTTATTGATTTTCAGTGATTTGATTTATGTATTTTATGAAATGATCAATCAATATTTGTTAAGGGTTAATTAATTATTCGGATCAATAATTACTGAAAAATTACTGATTGTGGTCCATTTCTGTATTTTAGTGATATCAATTGATTATGTTGCTTAGATTGTGGTGAAATTATCTCTTGATTTTGAATTATTTGTATATTTTTCCGTGAATGGCACGGGTTCCTGCTAGGAGCTCAATTAACGTTGAAGTCCTCTCAGGCGCAGTGCACTACTAGGAGGGCTTTTGCTCAACGGCTATTGGATTTGCGAGATCGATGGACCCTAGTCCCTAGCCAGTTTTGGTGAAAATCTCAAAATCCAGATGGTCCAAACACGACGGTTAAAAGCAAAAATAAAAACATGGCTTCCCAAATTGAAGCTTCTCTCATTGACTTCTCCAAAAGTCCAAAGTAGCTGCTAGCTCATCAGAAGCAGTTCAACCAACGCTTCGACCCTCTCAAAATGGGCCATCACCTAGCTCAGCCAAATGATGGCTTTCCCATGGAGTGACGCAACCAAAGCTTCAGCCCTCAATCGAAACATTCAGTTAAAGCAACCTTAGCTATTATCAAGCGGCGTAACGGCCTGCCGCCTGAAACTACATGGAATTGCTTTTATATTATAGTGCAAAATTGATTGATAGCGGGTTAATCTTTTTTAGCTTATCTCAACCGTCCATCACCAGGCTTCCGACCACTGCAAAAAGAAAGCAGAGAAGGGAACACAAAACCTCGGTAAGACTCTGAACCGGAGAACAGGGAGCTCCAGAGGCAGATATTGGATAGAGATAGCTTTCAAAGAGGAAGCAGAGAAGAGGGAACTCTCTGCATCTCCCGAGTCTGTTGTCTAGGAGGTTCGGAGGATTGTAGTTTTTCGTGCAGAAGACATGGGGAAGAACGAGAAAACTGGGTTAGGGCGAGCACTGGTGAAGCACCACAACCAAATGGTCCAGCAGTCCAAAGAGAAGGGCCGTTTCTACAGAAACCAACAAAAACGAGTTCTCGAATCGGTCACGGATGTGAACGACATCGATGCCGTCATCGAACAGGCCGAAGAGGCCCTGCGTATCTTCTCTGTCGACAATCCTGTGCCTAACCTTCTCATCGATTTGTGAGCCCAAATCCCTTTTCTCCTATGTTTTTGCCCCTCTGATACTTATTCCTTTCTGGTATCCGCCATTTGCTTCTTGTGTTTGAATATAATCGAAGCATAATAATTGTATTTGAATCGGGACCCAAGTTCAGTTCTGAATGATAGTTTTTTTTAATGCTAATTATGCATATTAGTTGTGATCAGGGATGGGAGCGCTGAAGCAAGCGGCATGACGCCGGAGGAACGGAGAGAGCAACGGAAGAAAGAGGAGGCGTTGCACGCTAGCAGCCTTCGAGTACCTCGCAGGCATGATTTTTTTTTTATTTCAGATTCTTCGCAGAAACTTGATAAATGATAACAAGCTAAATAAGTCTCAACTTATCAATAGGCCACTGTGGAATGCTGGGATGTCTGTGGAAGAGCTTGATACGAATGAAAGGCAGGCTTTCTTAATTTGGCGGAGAAGCCTTGCGAGGTCAGCTCTTGGATTTTGCTGAATCCTTATTTTATTTCTTTTTGGTTGCCTAGAAATTAATGTTTTACTTACTTTGGTCAGTTCCCCTTCTTCTCCTCCCCCCTCCAGTTGATAGTCTGCATTCTGCAAGGATAATACGGGAAATAAGATTGTTCATGGTTAATTACAATATGTATTTCTAACTTCAGAACCCCCCCTCCCCCCCCAAAAAAAAAAAAAAAAAACAGAACAGTAATAATGGTAACTGGTCGGCTAAAATGTCTCTCTATTATCTTTTCTTTTTTCTTTTTTATCAATAACAAGAAAGTTTCATTAAGATTTGAACTTTAAATACAGAAAAGGGGAGATAATACATTTTACATCAATGTCCTTTGTCACTTGAACTTTCTCTTTTCACTGCTGTGATTCCAAAGCCCATTGTTGTCTTCCTTTAACCAGCCCACTACTATCTCAGAATCTCCTTCTATGAACAGCTTACTGGTATTCAGCTTTTTAGCACTTTCCACTCCTTCCAAAGCCATCAGTACCTATGCCCTAAGAGAGTCACCTATTTCAATTGGGCCTGAAAACAGAGCTATTACATTCCTTTGCTCATTCCTTAGTACTCCCCCAATGCCTGAGGGCCATCGATTTCCAATACTACTAAATTCAGCTTGATAAAGCCACAAGGGAGAGGGTTCCAAGTTGGACTTGAGGCTTCTTATCTAGGACTGAACTCACAATCTCTTTCTAGTTTCTTAGCAAATCCAAAACTAAAAATTTCGTGAACAAATCCAAAGATTTCAGCCAGTGTACCACCCTACGTAGATCAATTCTAGAATATTTTCTAGGCTTCTCTCATTGTATGAAAAAATTATTGAGTTTCTTTATTTCCATACAGTCCAACAAATAACAGTCCTTACACACCTCTACATAATCCTTCCTCTTTTTCGTTGGCCAACTCAAAGAAGAAGTAAACAATATTTGCATATTCAGTGGGGGATTCCACCGGCACCCAAACAAAGAAGTAAACCATTTCCAAATACTTTTTGTAAGTTGGCAAGAAAGTAAACCAGATTCACCATTAGCCTTACAAAGAATACACCAGTGAGCTTTGAAGCAAATCACCCGTGTTGGATCTTTTCAAGAAAGCTTCCCAAGAAAAACTCCCAACCTTTGGTGGGATAAGTTGACACCAAACTTCTTTAATAAGGAAAGACAAGCCAGAAGGAGCAATTGATTGTGTTAAGGCTTTGAAAAAGGAGTCCCAAATGAATGATCCCGAAGGTGAGGGGGTCCAAATTCTGCTATTTAGCTTTGTAGGATCTAGGAAAACCCCTTCAAGGATGCCCAAAAGTGTCAAAGTGCTATACCAATTCTATTTCCTTGATTGCTCTTCTCAAACCTAAGTTCCAACCAAACCCAACACTTGAGTTAGATGGTACAAGGAAAGTGGAAATAGACTATTTTTAAAGTTAGAGACAACAAACAAAGAAGGAAATTGGTCTTTCAAAGGAGATCCCAACCCAAACTTGTTCCTAAAACTTAATAAGGTTGTATGAGTGCAAGTCATACCTGATCAAAGGTGAAAATAAAGGCAGGATAACTTGGATGGCTTTCCAAGGTGATGCCCTTGTAGTCCTAGCCAGAATCCTAGGATCTGCAAGCCCTTGAATACTAGCTACTACCTTAGCCCATAGCTTTCCTTTTTCTATTGGGAACCTCTACAGCCACATACCCAACAACGCTGAATTTCTCTTTTGGATATTCCCAATGCCAAGACCTCCAAACTTCTTATTTCTATTCACCACCTCTTAACCAACTCTATGCTCCTTTTCCTCATCCTTGGTTCCCAAGGAAAGTCTCTCATAAGTTTTTCCAACTTGCTAGCTAGCCCTGTTGGGATCTTGAAAACGACAAAAAATAAATAGTCAAGTTAGCTAGTGTAGACCTAATCAGGGTGATTCTCACTCTAAGAAATAGATAAATTTTCTTCCAAGAGGCAAGTCTCTTTTCAAATCTCTCCACCTCTGGATTCTAAAAACTTTCTTTATTAGAATTATCTCCTAGGGGCAGACCTAGGTAATTCAAAGGCCAATTAGATACTACACATTCTTGAATGTTCACCTTTAGATTTGACATTTGCTCAAAAAGTTGTATTACAAGTTTCTTCAAGTTCTAATCCAGCTCAAATATCCCCTTTACAGAAAAGTATCATATCATTTGCAAACTTCAAGTGAGTGAGTGGTATGTCCTCCCTGCCCATTCTCCATCCTCTTACGAAATTCCTAGAATTTGCTCTAAAAATTAGTCTCCATGGGACTTTTGCAACCAAGGTAAACAGAAAAGGAGAAAGGGGGTCACCTTGTCTTGTTCCTCTCGAGGCTAGGAAAAAACCCACCACTGTCCTATATTACCAATATAGAGTAGTGACAAGTTGTAACACACTATATCGCCCATTTGTACCATTCATTTCCCAACCCAAAATTAACAATCACTTCTAGCAAAAAAGACTAATCTACCAGATCATAAGCTTTTTCTAAATCCAACTTGTACACCGCTCCCTTTTCCCTGACTTATTGAAATCCTCTACACTTTCATTTGCTATTAGAATTTGATCAGTTGTCTACCTGCCCTTCACAAAAGCTCCTTGGTTATGTGCTATAAGGGTAGGGAGCACCAATGTTTTAAAACGCAGAGGCATGTCGTGAGACATTCCAGTACCTAAAGGCATGAGGTGTAGTTCAAAACATAAGAGGCATAGGCTTCCCTTAAGAGGAGGATGAGGAGGAAGGAGGATCTCGTTTTTCCTTTTTTTTTTTTTAATAAAAATCTTTTATATTAAGAAGAGTGAAGATGCATGGCACTAGTTGAGGGGGGGGGGAGATTGATTTTATAATAATGGGTGGTTGGCATTCTCATTACTATTTAAACAAATGATGGTGTCTGAGGGGAGATAAGCCTTGTTTTCTATGTTAGATAATCTCACCATTGTTGTTTATCTTAAAATTAGCTTCTCAACAAATTCTTTGATTTTATGTGGGGTAGGGCCATCCCATAAGAACTTCATGGAAAAGGATATGAGGAATACACCAAAAGGAGAGTTAACAAGGGATAAAGCCTCATTACCCTATGGAAGATTTTCTTTTTATTTGTAAAAAATGAATTTTATTGTGTTATGATGCATTACAACATAGTTTTAAATCCATTATTTTATTATAAGGTAATTTATTTGTTCAGGCTTGAGGAAAATGAGAATCTTGTCCTTACTCCTTTTGAGAAGAATGTTGATATCTGGAGACAGCTATGGCGGGTGCTTGAACGAAGTGATTTGGTAAGCTCATATGCTTTTTCAGTGTTTGGTAGTAATAATTTCAATTCCTTCACCTCCTTTCAAAAAAAAAAAAAAGAATCAATTCACCTGAAAATGGTTCACTTTTTCTTTTTCTGTTCTAAAATGCTCTACAGTTGTGAAAATCTATGTACCTCAAAATATTTGTTTGAGCATTCCATGCTTACTTACTTTTGCATGTTGGCTGATAGCCTAGTGAGGATGGGGGCGAATAGGAGGGAATTGGAATGGGGTACTCTGGGTCCAGGGGCAACACTATTTGAACGTTAGTAACCTGATTTTGGGCTAATTGTCAGCTGTTATCTGTCATGTTATCCACCTCCAATTTATTAGGAGTGGTGGGTATTTGTATATAATTTCATAATCAAACAACAAAATTAGTTATTCATGATAAAAAAGTTAACCTTTTGCTGTCACTGCATGATGAAGGTGGCAGGTGTACCTCATGGTCTGCAAGATGCGTGCATCCTTTTTTTTGTTTCCTTTTTTTCCTTCTATTGCGAGGTGTTTGTAGAATCATCTATTGGATTTTTGGGCATAGTTGTCAAGGTGACAAAGCCCCCATGGAGGGCCACCTTGCTTAACGGCCTACCTATTTTGTACATGTTACTATGAAAAACTTTTATATTCTTTATTGTTTGGTATTATAATAATTAAATAGATATTTTTAAACTAAAATATTTGTTTGTGGGTTAAGCAAGTAAACTCAGCACCATAGAAGTACAGATTTGCATTCAGGGAGATCGATTCTCTTGCTAAGAGATTTAACTCTACTTTTGGATGGATTAAAAGGACAGGGAATGGACTGGCAGATACTCTAGCAAAACAAACAGTTGATAGGCCTACTCTATTTTGGGCTAAATTGTAGCTGGCTGTATCACAACAGTGGGATGTTGATATACATAATCTAGGTTTGTTTGTATATTGTAATACTCTAGAGTGCAGATTAGATAAAGAAACTGTAATCTGTTTTTCAGTTTAATAAAAAAGCTAAATTCTCTTTTGCTGATAAAAAATATTTGTTTGTGGGTTTATATACTAGTTTATTTTTATTATTTTCTTATTTGTTAGGGTTCAATCAAGGTTCAAAATTTGATATGATACACCCCGTATTGAGCATATCGTATTGTATCACTATCAGCAAACCCCTGATATGCAAAATAAAGGCCTTTTGGGGTTTTGACTACTTTTAGGTGGTAGGCAGGCCTTAGACCAACCCCATGACTAATTTTGAAAGAAAACAAAAAACTAAAAAAAAAAAAGGTTCTGTAGTGTCAAAACACCTGACACACTAGTTTGTGTATATCATGTATACCAATACTTTAAACCTTGGGTCCATCAACACACATGTTGGTATATGCTGTCTTGAACCTTTAAAGAGTTCTAAACCTGAACCAATAAGCAAGAGCTTAAAATCTTGTCCAATCAGCACATTCTTATCTTTTGCTGTCATCATCGTCATTTTTTTCACCATTTTCTTCTTCTTCCACCATTTTTTTTCTTTTCCTAGGACAAAAGTAAGGGATCGGTGCTTATATTTTCTGAAATTTCTTTCTTTCTTCTTTTTCTTCTCATAAAGTATGTTGTTTTTCTATGTTTTAATATGAAACTTATACTTTTTTTATGATGTTCATAGATACTATCAACAAAAGATAGTTGCTGGTTGCTATGGGAACCTAGGGAGTTACCCTAGGTTTCATGGTTGTCCACCACTCTCCCTTCAAACTACCTGTCAAGGTTGCAAATCAGATTGAAAAGCTTATGAAGATTTTCTTTGGGAATTGGGAGACTCCAAAAAGGACCATCTAATGAAGTGGTAAGTAGTTTTGAGGAAAAGGGAACATGGGGGCTTAGGCATTGGTAATATTAGGTTAAGAAACTTAACCTTGTTGGGGAAGTGATTATGGAGATTTCCCCTAGAGCAGGATGGTTTGTGGCACTTGATGATAGTAAATATTCACGGTATGGCAGCAAATGGATGGGATGCTGGTATCAACGCTAGGGCTTCTCACATCAACTTCTCCCCTTGGAAAGCCATTGTTAGAGTCCTACTTGCCTTTCGACCTTTCTTCAGGAAAGATGCGTGATCAGGTAGCAAAGGTATGTGAGGATATTTGCATTTGGAACACTCCCCTTAAGGATAGGTTTCCGGTAATGTATTCTCTTTATTAAATAAGTTCAAGGTTATTTCCTCCTTTCATGTGTTTGAGGGTTCATGGGATTTGGGCCTGAGGAGAGGGTTGAGGGACATAGAAGTAGCTTTTGCAGATGAATTGTTCTTTCTTTTAAGTTTAGTTTTCCTAGATCAGTCTTGCCTGGATAATAGAATTTGGTCAGAGTCCTCATGTTTCTGCTCTTGCTCTTCGTTTTTCAATTTTTTACTTCAATCTGTTATTGTGCCTGTTTCTTTTCTTGCTAATGAAGTGTGGTGTGCTCTTGTTCCACCAAAGGTTAGGGGTTTCTACTAGGAAGTGGTTCTCCAAAAGATCAATACTATGGACCAATTTGAATCATTAAACATTCATTGGTAGAATACTCGATTCAACTTCAGTTTCATCCATGAACATGAAGCTCAAAATGTCCTAAGCTGTTCACTAAAAGAGAGAAGTCATTTGGTCTGACCACTTTAAAGTTTAAACGACCCCTTGGCCTTGGGCTATGTTTTTTTATTAAGGAATATGAGTGTTAGCTTACATTGGGTGGGCAGGTCAGCAAATTATATGGCTGATTATCTTGCTAAACAAGGGGTTTTAAGGGAACATCTGTATTGGGCTACCTTGTGATTTTTATCTCTAGTGCTCTGTGTTCTTTACAATTTCAAGGGAGGTTGCACCTCATGCCTCTTTGTGGGATGCTTGTAACAGTTCTCATCTTTTTTCAATAAAATTCCTCTTCAAAAGTTCAAATTGGTGCCTTTCCTCACATGTCTGAAGCCTTTGCTTGAGGAGTTGTGAGACAATGACTCATTTATTCATCTCCTGTGCTTTTGTTTCTTATATTTGGGAATGGTTCTTTCTCTTTGGTTGTTGGTGGAATCCTCCCTTGTGTGTGCTAAACCTTTTTGACTCTAGTTTCTTCCAACAACCAAAGAAGAGGGGTGGAGTGATGTGGAGAGCAAGAGCATCTGTCCTATGGTCAGTTTGGGAGGAGGGAAATAACAAGATTCTCTTTGGTTGCAGCTGTCCTATCTTTTGTTGACTTTGTGAGATTGAACTTTGATGGAAGCTCTCTAGGTAACCTAGGTTCCTTAGGAATTGGGGGTGTCTTCAGAGATGAGGAAGGAAGAGTTTTGGCTCTTTACTCGGGTGTGTTAAGCAAGCGATAGCTTGCCTCAATGTAGGTTAGTACATTAGCATTTTAAACACTCCTTCGGTTAAGGTTAAAATGCGTGTGTACACCGTTTTTCAATACATTCTTATTGGTAGTCGGCCCTTATCCAATTCCCTAACGGGAATTTATGGGCCGGTTAATAAGAGTGGTCGGCCCTGATCCAATTCCCTAGCAGGAATTTAAGGGCTGGGGTTCCTATTCCGGCTCAATCAGGGTGGGAGATTCTTTAAGGGCAAAAGTAAAGGCCTTACTCCAAGGTTTCAGACTGGCAAAACGGTGGAGAATGCAACAGTTAGAAGTGGATGGAGATTCCAAGCTGGTAATAGGTTGGATGCAATCAAGAAGTTTGGGAATGTGGTCCTTCAGACAATTGCTAAGAGAAATTATGAGCTTAGCAAGGGAGCTTGAGGTGCATTTTAGATGGGCAAGAAGATAAGCAAATGGAATGACCGGTGCTTTAGCTAAGCAAGGAGTCAATAGGGTGGCTTTGTTTGGGCTTGTTTGTAAGAATGACTATGCCTATGGGTTCTCCATCTATTCTTTGGGTGGTGACAGTTGTCCTCTTTATTTAATGTTTTCAATGAAAGTTATGATTTCCTATAAAAATAAGGTGCCAAATTTGTGTAAATTGATTAAAGTCATAAAATGACAATAATGATATAGGATGGATGATGACCTTTGAAAAATTTCGCAAGTAAGTCCAATATAGTTGTTATTAAGATTACAAGATTAGGAGTGCCTTATGTACAGAATTCTTTGTAAGTTGTAAAATTTAAAAATTGTAATATCAGTAACTAGGTTGCAAGTTTGCAGCAGGTTTGATTTGAATGACATACATGTAATATGCTGAATTCACTTGACAATGTTGTCTTTTTCCTTTTCTTGCAGAATCTTTATTTTATCTAAAATTCTTTTAGATATATTTTGCTATTTGTTATCTATAGATACTGATTTCATGTATCCTCTTCCAGCTCGTAATGGTTGTTGATGCACGTGATCCACTATTCTATCGCTGCCCAGATCTTGAGGTATTCATTTTTTTCTTTGTTGCGAAATTCTGGTTATATTAAAGTCAGTAACATGATAGGGTGGTGATGCCCATGACTATTTTTCTCTAACTGAAATAGTGGGCATGTTGTACCATACATAAACCATGCAGTATCAAAGAAAAAATGAATCACACATTGTTTGAAACTTTTAAATGACATTTGCTTTTTCTGGATTTCTATTTATGTAACTAGTGTTGCCTTTTGGTTAACTTGTTGGCTCTGGATGTCATACTTTATGTAGCACATCCAAAGTTCTTCTGTCCTGCATAATCACTGCAATTCATATTTTCCTAGGTGGATATCAATTCTTAGACAGACTGAGGAAATTTGGAGTTCATTGTCAAATTGTGGGTAGAAAATCTTAAATAAAATTTGTCAGAAATTGTATCCTACCAATTACTTGAGGTAATCTCTGTTATAAGAAATCAATAAGTATAGGTGCATATGCATACAAATGCAAGATGTATTGGTGACAAAATGGGATAATGCCTCCTCAAGAGCACTCAAATGGGGACACAAATTATGGTATATCATTGTTCCATTTGACACAACCAAGACATCATCAAACTCCTACTCAGACGGTGAAGCAATTCTGCAGACGTAGGCTCCCTTTCTTTCTGATAGCAAAAAGCCTGGAATCTCCAAGGAAGAGTTTATACTGAAAGAATTTCTGAGAGGAACACTCAATCGCTCCTAATAAACCCAATCTGTGCTATAACAGAGAGCAAGAGCATGATTTTGATGATGAAACTGATTGGGAGGAACTAAGGCTCAGTTTGGAAGGAGTACAAATGCAAATGTACAAATACAAGTAAAATAATACAAATACAGGGTTTTGCGCTCTACAAATTTGTATTCGTACTCCAACCAAATGCAGCCTAAGGGATTTATATGAAGAAAAAGTTAACCAACCGTTAAGTATCGGAAGTGTGGACTCAACAAAAGGTTGCAAGATTGTGGACTTAGAGCAGCTTGGAACAAAGCTCCTTTTCGAAGAACAATTTGGTACAGAAATCCTGGAGCTGAAGGAAACACGAGTAGAAGAAACTACTGCTGACTGTGGGGGATCTCTGGAGGAAACTCAGGGAGAGGAAAATGTAGGAATCGGTCAAATGCAAGAATATGGTGTCTATAAATGGGACGAAGAGGATCACAACAAGCCAAGCATAGGAACGCCTGAGGAACAAGAACTGTTAGCTATTCAGGTTGATCAAGAAAAGGAACTCGACCACCTAGAGCTTAACATTGGGAAAGTTTGTACTAGTCTAGTTCAGGGAGAAGTTTTTTCCCTCATGTTCCTCTCCTCTCTCTTTTCCTTTGGTATTGATTCTACTTGACCTGATGCTAATTACTCTCCTGCTGACTTTGCAGATCCAACTGTTGGTGTCACACCTGATGCGAGCTCTAACCTTATTGGCTTAGAAAAGAGAGAAAGAGTTGAAGTGACAGTGGTGGAGGAGGAGATTATGGACTTTGTATTTGGACATTTAGCAAGCTTAGTTGAACTGGAGGAGAAGAATGAGAAAAGGTTAGAAGTGCATGGGGTTCTCTTAGAACTAGAAGAGAAATAGGAGACTGATGGCCTAATTAAAGAGAGGAGAAAAAAACAGTGATCAAACAAAGAAGAAGGGGAAGAAACCTAAGAGATCAAAAGAAGAACCTATCAAACTGAAAGTCTATCATAGGAAGGGAGTGGAAGGTAGGTAATAAAGAAAGAAAGAGAAGGATGAGGGAGGTTGAAAAACTAGCTTGTGGGGTATCACATGATAAGGATGAGATTTGAAAGAGGGAGAAAAAGAGGGGAGATCAGTAGGTTGGGGAAGGAATTTAGGGCTTCTATAACAATTTGCAATGAAGGTTCTCTGTTGGAATGTAAGGGGTTTAGGTAGTTCAAATAAAAGGAGAATTGTCAGGAATGTGGTAAGAAAAGAGAGACCAAATATATAAATGCTACAAGAAGCAAAGTTCTTAGAGGTGGATAGATAGATAAGAAGTATCTGGAGTTGTAGAGATTTGAGCTGGACTTCTGCCCCCTTTTGGGGTGTTTTAGGGGGGATTCTTACAGTGTGGAAAAATGAAGAGGTGGAGTGTCAAGAGGAGTTGATTGGGCGATTTTCATTTTCAATAAAAGCAAAGAAAGTCGGTGACAGAAGAGAATGGGTTTTAACAAATGTTTATGGCCTTAACTCATACAGAGATAGTAGTAGGGCCTTGGTGTCTGGGGGAAGACTTCAATTTTATAAGATTCAAAAATGAGGCAAATAACCTGAACTAAACCAACCACAAGCATGAGAAAGTTCAATACCCTGGTGGAATCTCTAGAATTAAAAGATCCCCTATTAACTTCCTCTTTTACTTGGTCAAACTTTTAGGAAAACCAAATATGCTCCATGCTAGATGGATTTCTTTTATTAGTAGATTGGGAGTAGCTTTGGGGAAATTTAATTCTGAAAGCTCTACATAGGGTAATCTCTAATCATTGTCCTCTATGCCTTAATCAGGAAACTCCTCTAGGGAGAGGCCCCACATCCTTCAGATTTAAAAATATGTTGCTGGAGAACCCAAAATTCATTGAACAAATAAAGGGTTGGTGAGAAGAGAGTGGAATCAATGTGAGAAATAAAGGGGTGAGATTTAATAAGAAACTAAAGAGATTGAAAGAAAGGATCAAGGAATGGAATAAATAAGATTTTGGGAGACTAGAAGAATCAAAAGAGAGAATTGCTAAAAGGATAGAAGCAAGGTTCAAAATTTCGATATGATATGCCTTGTATTGGACGTATCGTATCGTATTGGTGGTGTTTTAGTGGTTCAGATAAGTCCTGTTCAAAGAGAAAGAGAAAGAAGAAAGCTGTTGAACTAGAGATACTAAACCCTCCTAGTCAACCATAATCTCTATTATATTAAAATAAGGGTACAAAGTCAAATATACCCCTACTTAAGTATGGGACAAGAAGAATAAAAAACAAAACAGAATTGCCACATCACTACACTACTTAAACTATAATGAAAAGACTAAGTTACCCTTACTCGACTAACTCTAACAAGTGGCTTCACAATACGCCTATTTAAAGGTGTTTTGGGAACCACTCTTTTTTTAATAAAAAATATGGTTAAAAATATGCCCCAAAACCAAATTTTGGAAAAAGAAACTAAAAAAATATATAAAAGTGCATTAATTTAAGTACCGATACGCCCTTGCCAATACACATGGGCGTATCAATATTTTGAACCTTAGATAGAGGAGCTAGATTAGAAAGAAGCTAGAAGGGAGATTAGTGTGGAGGAAAGAATAGAAAGATGGAACATGAATGTTATTTTTCAGTGGGTGGGTAGAACAGCTAACACCATAGCGGATGGGTTAGCTAAACAAGGGGTATCAAGGGAACAGTTTTTCTGGGCAGCTTTGTAAATTTTTTGTTACTAGTCTAAGGTATACATTGTTGCTATTGTGGAGAGGTACCAGCTCATGCCCCTCCTTTGGGAAGGTTGTATTGTAATATCTTATTGCTTTTTTGAATAAAATTCAATCATTTATCAAAAAAAAAAAAGAATAGAAAGATGGAGCTTAAATGTGGAATTAGAAGGGATCTTAAGAAAGGAAGAAATCTCTTGGAGACAAAAATCGAGATGCAAATGGTTGATGGATGGAGAGGGCAATACAAAATCCTTCCACTCATTGGCAAATAGAAGAAGGAAGAACCTAATCTCTAGCATTGAGGTTGAAGGTCTGGTGGTAGATGGGGAGGATGAAATTGTTAAGAACTTTGTGGACCATTTTAAATCAATCTTTGCCACCATAAGAAATAAACACTTTGATTTGGGGGATTTGGATTGGAATATAGTGCCTGAGACACAAGTGGCATTTTTAGAAAGGAATTTCACCGTAGAAGAGGTTCATGTATCAATTTCCTCAATGGAAAGATCTAAAGCTTGTGGCCTTTTATCAATATTGTTGGGAGATAATAAAAGGTGATCTAGCCATGGTGTTTTTTGAATTGCACGGGAAAAGGGAAAATCTCACAAGCATCAAATGCTATCTTCCTGTCCCTAGTGCCTAAAAAGAAAGAGGCTAAAACTCTGAAAGACTACAGACCTATAAGTCTCATAGGAAACCTTTATAAGATCATTGTTGAAGTTTTAGTAGGTAGGTTAAAAACTATTTTGCTCTCAGTAATCTCTCAAAATCATGGAGCCCTTGTGGAAGGGAGACAAATTATAGACCAAATCCTAGTTGCAAATGAGTGTGTGGCTGAAAAAAAAAGGAAATATGGGGAGAGGGCCTAATTTGCAAGTTAGTTTTGGAAAAAAAAAGCCTATGTTATGGTGAATTGGTAATTTCTTCTTGTCTTTTGGAAAAGTTTGTCTTGAGAGAGATATGGAGAAAGTGGATTAAAGGGTGCATTATCTCAATGCATTTCTCAATTTTGATAAGTGGAGTAGCCAAAGATTTCTTCCCACCAAAAAGCGGTTTAAGACTGGGAGATCCCATTTCCCCTTTCCTGGTTACATTTGTTGAATTTTTTAGCAAACTGATTATCAAAGTTGATCTATAAAATCAGATTAGAGGTTGGAGGATTGGAAGGAATGAAATTGGTGTTACCCATCTACAATTTGTAGATGACACAATCATTTTCTCCAAGGACTGTGATGAATCTTGTGTAAGAAACTTAAAAGCTTTAGTAGATGGGTTCCAAAGGATCTCAATGTTGAAAGTGAACTGTGTGGCAGGAATTAACATGGAAGAATAAGAAATTCAATTGGTGGCAAAAGTACTAGGCTGTGAGATTAAAAATTAACCTCTAGAGCAAAGATCAAAATTTTGATACAATACACCTTGTATCAGGCATATCATATTGTATCTTTGGGGTCTCAATACACCTGTTTACAGGTGTTTTGGGAACCCTCTTCAAAAATATATATATATATATATATATATATATATGCATAAAACCTCCCCAAAAAACAATTTTTGAAAAAAAAATCTAAAAAAATATAAAACCACATGCTTTTTAGTACTGATACGCCTTTGCCGATACTCAAGGGCGTATCGATACTTTGAACCTTGCTTGGGGGGTAATCCAAAAGCTTTCTGCTTTTGGAAACCGGTGGTAGAGAGATTTGCAAAAAAAAAAATTAGCCTCATGGAAAAGAAGCTATCTATCCATGAGAGGAAGATTCACTTTGATTAAATCCACCTTAGCCAACCTGCCTACCTATTACTTCTCCACCTTTAGAATACCGGCTAAGATAGTAAGGCAACTAGAAAAGTTTGAGGGACTTCCTATAGGAACTAGGTAAAGGGAATAAAGACCACTTGTAAAATGGGAACAAGTGTGCAAACTAAAAGACTTGGGAGGACTTGTCATTAGAAACTTGATCAAAAGAAATACAACCCTCCTAGGAAAGTGGCTTTGTAGATTTCCATAGAAGGAGATAGGCTGCATAGGGTCTTTGGAAGCATTCATGGTGTGGCAAAAATGGTTGGGATAGAAAGCTGGCACCTCATACTTCATCAAAATCCCCATGGCATCTGATTTGATGTGGATTGTGGGGAGAGAGTCTTATTTTGGGAGGATCTTTGGATTGGGACTAACCCCTCAAATTGCAATTTCCTGCACTCTACTCTTTATCAAATTACAAGGCTGAACCTGTTTCTAAATTTGGCCTGCCTTTGTAAAATGGGTTAAATTGGGATTTTGGTTTTAGAAGAAGCCTGAGGGATAGTGAGTGTGACTCCCTTGTTCTCCTACTCACAAAATTAGAAAATGTCTTTGGATCAAAACATCTCAGGTGGTGGTAGAGTTTGGGCTCCCTTGCGTGATGGCATTTTCACTTCTGTTTTTTTAACCTTCTTGTTCCATTCGAGCCTATGGGGGGTGAACTTCCCGATAAGAGAAATTTGGTGCAAACCTATCCCTCTTAAAGTACAAGCTTTGTGTTGGAAGTGTTTCTCACATGTGTTTCCTTTGTAAGGAGAGTGGTGAGTCTCTTCCTCATTTATTATTCTCCTGTTCCTTTGTATCTTGTATTTGGGAATACTTTTGCTCTCTTTTTGGTTGCAGATGGGTTCCCCTGCAGGATGTGGTAGGTATGTTCAACTCCAGCTTCTTGAGGCAACAAAAAAGAGAGGAAGGATTATGTCGAGGGCAGTAAGAGCAGCAGTGGTGTGGACCATTTGGGAAGGAGATAAAAGAACCTTCAGTGAGTGGAGTAAATCTAAGGAGGAACTGATTGAAGCCATAACAGTTAGTACAACACATTGGGTAAAGACTTCAGACCTCTTCCATGAATTCTTGGGAGTTGGAAAGGCCTTTAGAGATGGATCGGTGGGCTATCCTAGCCATATATGTTCAGGAACTATTGGAAATGGGGACTCTTTAAGGACTGAATGGATAGCAGTCTTGCATGGCCTAAGGATTGGAAGATCATTTACCTTCAGAAAGATCATTTACCTAAGGATTGAAGGGGTAAAGTCTTTTGGCAATCAGTGCCTCATGCAGTAATGTGGGGCGTTTGGGATGAAAGAAACACCTGTATCTTTGACAATAAAAGCAGAACCTTGGAGGAGTTAATCTCAGATATTACCTATCTTTGCATCCTTTGGTCGGTGAATTCAGATCTATTTAAAGGACTTTCAGTCAATGATATTATCAGAAATATTCACCCCTTTCTGTTTCTGCCTCATCCTCAGCAAACTCCCTTGAGGCATCCCGTTTCCATCAGTGAAGGTGTGATAACCCTTAATTTTGACGGTTGTGCCTTAGGCAATCCAGGATTTGCAGGTATTGGTGGTACAGTAAGGGACGAAAGGGGCAATATCTGCCGGACTTTTAGTGGCCCAATCAGTTGGGCCGACTCCACAAAGGCTGAAGTGATGGCTGCTCTCACCGGAATCAGGATAATTAAGAATTTGGGTATTCAGAATTTGATCATTGCAGGTGATTCAGCAACTACAATAAAATGGTTAAGAGACAAAAAAGGGGGCCCTTGGAGACGTTATCACTATCTGACTGAAGCTTGGGATTCTTTGGATGGATTGAATGTTAATTTAGTTTGGATTCCTAGGGAATACAATCATACTGCAGATGGCCTAGCTACATTTGGTGTGTATTTGGAGCATCTGTATAGCGACAAGCTTCCTCCTTTGTAACTTGCAGGGGTCCCCCCCCCTGT